CAGCAGACAGATATTCTGCTTGAAGTTAAGAATAAGAATTAACCCACTGGTCCCACCTGTGTCAGGGGTCCAAGATAAGAGCTCCTGTTAGGCATCTGAAGAGGCTTTAGTCAATCTAAGCTTTCATTCTGTGGCTGTAGCCACATAAATACATTTTTATGCCCACAAACAGAAGAGAGGCTTCAGCAGTGCACCTATATCCTGTTTAAGGGACACAAGCTTCCAATTCTGCTCATTCAGAGAAATGGAAACTACCAAGTGATATCCTTGCAAGTTGATTCAACTATACTGTTTTAAAGTACTGAGATAATCTCCCAGCTGTTTATAATGTGAAAAGATCTTACTAGTAACTGTTTATAATGTGAAAAGATAGTACCAGAAACATCTCTTCTTTGCTCTTCTTCCATGGTTTCCAAAATATTTTGAGGGTTTTTTTCATTTGTTTGGTTTTTTACAAGAGAAGTTTCATTAAATTCATTCTCTATATTGAGGCCATTAAATCAAAGAGGTGAAGTGATGTGCTTAAAAAAGCCAAACAAATGAAAACTGTTCCATCAAACCCTCAGTCCCTCTCCTGTTCCACTCAGAAGTGATTTCAAAGAGTAAAGCCATACACACAGATGACTAAAGGCCTATCTTTGAATGAGGGCCTTCCCCACCTGGAAGAAACTTGCAATTAAGATTAAAATACATACAAAAGCCATGGACATGCTGACAAATATGGTGCCTACCCATCTTGATGATTATTCTCCCCTACAGTTACCAGGCTACAGTCAAACCAGTTCTTGCCAGGTCTCCATCACATCCATCTTTCTGCTTCGTGGCTAGACTTTGGGAGAGTAAAATCTTTTATTCTCTGTTATGGGCTGCCTGCTTTGCAGCGAGGATCTAGTTCAAATACTCTAAGAAAGGAACCCAATACATTTTAAAGCTGTTGATGTGAGAGCCCTTTACTGGTTGCTCTCAGGTCAGGCTGTGACAGCTGCTGCTCACAGCTGTAGTGGGAACCAATTCTGGGTGTGCTGTCAGAGCAGCACTCAGTCCTACAGCTGGGGATTCATCCTTCCTCCCCCATTTTTATCCTTTGTTCCCTGCCCAGCTATAAGGCTAGTGTGTTTCAAGACAGCTCAGCAGCTGAGCTGCTGGTGGTGAGTGTTACAGAGCAGTTTACAAGCCTTGTGTCATAAGCCCTGTAAATGCCTAGTAAAACATGGAATTTAATGGAAGCATATCAGCTCATTTTAAAGCTTCTTCACCTGGTGCTGAGCTAACTGTTGCTGCGCTGCCTTTTTAATCAGTTACCACCAAATGTGTGCATGTGTGAGAAGGGTTTTAAACATTTCTCTGTCCACTTCCAGGCAACTAACCGACAAGCCTACAATCCTCTTATTATGCCTTCGAAACAGAGTCCATTCACTGTTATCTACACCGCATGTTATCGTAGGGTATTCTGCAGAGCCAGGCTTATAGAACATATCCCTAATGTTTCTCATACACCAGGTACATATCAGTTAGACACAGACCTACCAGGCACACACATACCTCTGCAGGAATGTATAACAGGACATTCAGGAAGCTGCACCTGATGCAGTGCTTTGTTTGGAAATACAGGAGACACTCCAGGAGTAACCACTACAGATATCATGCTAATTGAAGCCTGAGACATTCATGCAACAGTGTTAATTCTATATGTTAGGAGAGGCCAAAAAGTCAACACTCTATATGATGCTGTTATCCCACCATATATGCCCCAAACATACACCCCCTGTGCAGACTGATGGAAGATCCTTCCCTCCTGGATTTCATCTAAATAGTGCAGCCTCAGGGGCAAATTTGATTTCCCAGAACATGTCAGGTGTCATCCTCTAAATTCTGAATCAATTAATTTAGAATACATTCAGTCATAATAACCAGAGGAATTTAGAACTGATTTCTACTTCTAATGATACCTACCTGTCCTTTTAAAAGAATTTTCTTACTTATTGAAAAAAAGTTACTGTTCACACTAGCAATGTCAGATTTCAAACACTTATCAGACTGAAAGTCTGTCTCCCATTTTCATGCATATAAAGTATCCACTTGTCTCAAAAATTACAAAGTATGGTTCATTGACATGAGTCTGAACAAAATGCATAATCTTAACCAATGTAGAAATATGTCTGTTACATTCTCACATAGAGGTAAGTATAGCTCATAGAGTTAACATGTAAAACCTGAAGAACATGAAGAGATGTAAAAAACCCAGCACCAAATCTAATCCACTTATATAATGGCATGAAAGAGAGCAGTACTGTGATCTTATTTGCCACAAATGCTGTAAAGAAAAGAGGCTGACAGGTAGAATTACATGTCTCTTTTCAAGGCCATGGGTCCCCTGAATTCGAGGCTGAACCTCAGTCTGCACTTCTTAATCCAACACTAGAAGCTTTGAACAATCTTAGCCTCTCTGATCCTGTTTCTATTAAAAAGAAAAGAAAACAGACAAACAAACCCAAACCCCACACAACCCAGTAACATCACAGTGGGATGAACAAAGTCCTAAGAAATACATCTTTGAAGGCAGACTTCCAGAATACTTGCCCTATCAGTTCACGGTTCTTGGGCACGCTGTATTTTCTTCATTTATTTGCTTGACTCGCTGCCTGCATGTAGCTAGATAGTTAATAGAAGCAGTCCTGTCCTTGGAGACCAATATGAACTGACTGCCTCTGTCTTTGGTCGAGGTCCATTAAAAAATCTGAGCATTAATTAATCACTGGCTTGCAAATAGCTTGGAAGGGCTGTTACAGCTAAATTGGAACATTCTGCAATTGTTTTACTTTTGGTCATAGGCACTTTGGTGATGTGAAGCTTCTCCCCTGCCAGGACAGGATGTACATAAATCCAGTGGTTACTCCTGTGTTGGATCAGATCAGTCTAGAGACTATTCCAAGCAGCTCTATTTCTTTCTCTAACTGGGAGACTGCACATGTGAGGAAGAGCTGTCATAGGCAGCACTCTGGATAGAATTCCTTCATTGAAAAGGAAAGAACAAAACCTACCAGGGCAAAATGCCAGTGGAGCATACTCCATGAGCAAAGAGCCTCCCCTGCTTGCTGTCTGCCAAGCCAGTCAAAACCAGCTTCTTCTTTTCCTCCCAGCTAGGTGCAACTCTGACTGAGACTGCACATGTGAGGAAGAGCTGTCATAGGCAGCACTCTGGATAGAATTCCTTCATTGAAAAGGAAAGAACAAAACCTACCAGGGCAAAATGCCAGTGGAGCATACTCCATGAGCAAAGAGCCTCCCCTGCTTGCTGTCTGCCAAGCCAGTCAAAACCAGCTTCTTCTTTTCCTCCCAGCTAGGTGCAACTCTGACTGTAGAAATCAAGGCTTTAGCTTTTTCCCTACATCACCTCCAAGAAGGATCTCTGATCTGGGGCCTGTTTTCTGTGCACCAGCTGCTGATGGTCACAGCAAATAAACTGAGTGTAGCAACTCTGTCTGCAGAAGGCAAAGCAAGCCAAGCAAACAGAGATGTTAGACCTTACACACGAATCTTCTGTAATGTGAAGCGCAAACCAAAACTCTTTGTGGAAAAGGAAACTAAGCCAGCATGACCTACGAGCCATGAAGAAAAACACATCCAAGGGAATCATGATCTCATGTGTATAGGGGCTCTTTCCACTCCTCACTGTAAAAATTGTTCTTGATAAATAAGGAAGATAAATAAGCAGTTGTCAGTACAACGGGCACTAAGTGAGGAGGAAAATTAAAGGTGAATCTAAGACACAGGTTCTTGAAACACCAAAATACCAAAGTAAGAAAATAAATACCTAACCCTAACAGTAATGACAATTTTCCCTCAGCCTCAAGATATACTACACATGTGTATGTTGCAAGAAGCTGTTCCTTGGAAATAGTTAACTTTACTGGGCAAAAAGAGAGCTTGTATTCCAAATGCTCAAGCCTGATAAGTCATCTTAATATATTCATCCCTCTCCCTCCCCGAAATTTCACTTCCAGTGGAGAACTTAAATCAGAACCCCCCCAAATGACTAACAATTACTTTCCCTGCTCCCTGTTTCTCGTTCTTATTCCCACATAGTGTGCCCATATGCAAGGATGGTGAAGAATTATGTCTCATATGAAAATGTCCCCCTTGCTACCCTAGAGCTTCCCCAACTTCCGAAATGCAGTGGAGAGGTAAATAGGCAATCACAGCTAATCTTTCACCCTCTGCAGTGTTTCTAAACTTGTGGAAATTTCAAAAGCTGCCAAGATAAAATGACAAAATGAAATAACACACCCAAGCTTGAAGTATGGGCACTGGCTATTTGATTGAGCATGGTGACAAAAAGAAAAACATAAAAGCAGATCATAAGCCCAGTCAGAAAAATTCTACAAATTACTGATACATTGAGATAGCCAGATGGATATGTGTTTTTTTGAGGAATGAGACATTGCTTCTATATGAGCACTCAAAAATGGCAACTATTTTGTCAGTTTTGTTTTCAAAATTCATTTTCCATTTCTTTGTCAGCTGGCATTAAAGAACTGTCCCAGAGGCAGCTGCAGAACCTAGTGAATCCTTGCGAGCCTTTTGGCTGCAGTTCAAAGGCAGAGAAGATATTTTAACTCAGTACCAAAGATGCACTTTCAACTTGCTATTAAAACAATAATATAAACAGAGGGATAATGAGAGAATAAGGAGAGAAATGAAGAAAAAAATGGAAGACTGTGGAAGGGAATGGATCACAGGCTCTTCAGGACTAGTTTCTGAAATAAGTGTGTGAGACAATCTCCTACAAGAGGGAAATGGCTTATTTGATCTAATGTCTTTCTCTTCTTGAATTTCCACAGTATGGAGAATCAATATGAGGGAAATTAAAGCATCAGGAGCAGACTCACATTTCCACTTGTGTGTTCCTATCTCAGCAAACTCTTATTGAGATAGAAGTATTTACCTTAAGTGCCCCGTTTGTGTGTGCTGCAAGAGGAAGATGGATTTCAAAAGGATACATGCTTCTTCTGTGTAGGGGACAGCAGAAGTAGGTCCACTCAATATGTAGCTGTAGAATGAGACTTCCAGAGTGTAGCAGTAGGATGTATCATTTAACAGCCCACCCAGGAAACGCCGACCTGTCCCTGCTTTCACAGCATCTCTGTTGAATGATGTGCTGGTCTGCAGGAGGAAGAGCAAAGAGATGTAAAGAGAGGTCAGGAGTGGAACAAGGGAAGGGTTAGGAAGGAATCTGTTGAAATAGAAAGCAGTTGAATTCACATTGCCAAATCTCATTTACACTATATTAGACTATTTTTTGATTATGGCCTGGAGAGACCATTAATGGAAGCACAGTTCTGGCACTCAGACTATAAATAATGCCTTACAGACTTTCACTAAATTAATCTCAGTTCACTAGTAACATCAGTTTTTCTCCTCCCCTTTTGGATCACACAAAGCAAACCTGTCATATGCATGAGTTGAAAGTGAATCTTTCAGAACCCCCATACTCAAAAGTTAAGCTAGACTATTACTTGAATATTGGATTCCTTCTCCCTACATCATTCCCCTGTACCATAACCATTTCCCCCTTACCCCTTAACCTGGACTCTCTTAATCAAAGCAGAGATACAGTGGCATTTACGTTTTGGTGAAACTTTCTCACCTAAGACATTTGACTAGTTCTTAAATTAGGTCACAGAAATTTCCACTTCACTAACTTAAATGTTAACAGGGTGTTGCTCTCTGGATGGAAAAATATACTGCACTATTCTACAGCATTAGCAGCACAGTATAAAAGGCAGTATTTTGTGCTATTACTGAAGATCTGGCTTTAAGAACCCTATAGCTTTATGACTATTCATCTGAGGGGTGGATGGGAGGGCTCCAAGTATTTCCATAAATGAGTTTTAGCTCTCCTTTGAAGGCATGACATCTGGAGACTTAAGGGCAGCTCATCTTCAGGTTCATTGAAGTCTCAGAGCTTGTTTCTACCAACTTGACAGAAAAATGGATTCTGATTTCATTTCAGTTTTCAGACTCTATTCACAAACCTCATAACCTTTAGACTGAGCCAATCTGGGCTCAGCACAAGCTAGTGACCACCACAAAAAAAAAAGATCCAACTTGGATCTGTTGTATAAAAGGTCATAATATCTCCTGCTGTAAGAATTTTATGTTTCCAGTGAAACATAAAGGACCCTTAACATAGCTCACTGTTCAGTCATTGCGCCCATGGTGAATTCTTTGAGCTATCCAGTGTCCTCCTATGGAGCCTTAAGTTTAGTGAGATTCTTTCCTTGCTAACACAATGTTAATATTTATGACAGTCCACTTCCTAACAAAAACATGGAAAATAAGATTTCTTTTCTATTGACAAAATTAGATGCAGTGGTTCAAAATGTTAAACTTCTCTAGACTGAGAAAATCAGACTAATACTGAAATGAGCACCAATTCTTGATTAATAGTGAATACCAGGAGATATAAAGAATGGAAATACCTGTGGGTTTATTAACATTCTGAATGTCTCGAAGTCTCTCTCATGTTATAAAAAGGAAGGTTTTCCAGGTTAATTAGAAGAAGATGGAATTGGGTTTCTCATTAGCATTATATATAGGTGTTTCCAAATGCAACTTGTTGTCATTGTGGTAAAATAATATTTAGTTTTGTGGTCATTTTTACACAGAATGCATTCTGCTATGTACATATCATAGAATTCCACCAATTTACATGACAGAAGCCCTCAGAATATTCTGAATACCTATGGGACAGGGAGGTAAAGCACTCATAAGAAATGAACTGTTAATTTGATATATGGTATAAAATATTTTAGGAAGTCTACAAGAGGGAATGTTCTCTGCCTTCCTGCAAAAGAAGCCTTCAAAATACTACAGAGACCCTGAAACGGAGGGAAGCTTTGTCTTCATTTAAATTTCAGAAACATAAAGGAAGATGATCATTCTCTGGGCATTGTTTCCTCAGTCAAGTGCACATTGACTTCAGTAGATAGTGCTTCATGTTCAAGTAAATGCCAGTGGTGGAACTTTTAATGCATGAGGGCATCAGCTACTGATGGAGCCATCTCAAACAAAGAAGACAATGAATGTATCAGGACATGATACTGGGGTTTGTGTGCAGAAGTATCACTCACAAGGGGAATGAGCTAATTCTATGGCTGTATTTGGCATAGGTAAAACAAGGGAAATGTGGGAGAAGTGACTCAGGGAAGACAATAGGGACAGAAGTATTTCAGTGAGTAGGAGACTCAGTTACTGATACGGAGCATCTCTGAAGATTATGGAATCACATCAACTATGTTTAAAAACAAATTGTACAAGTATCTGCTGAGTATAACTCATGTCTTTGGTATACAGTTTGGACATGAGGTGCTTTTCCTATTTCCTGTGATTTTAATCAGACTAGAAGAAGGTTGCAAGTAGAATTCCTCATAGATGATTCTTGAGATAAATCTTACATAATATTTTCATCACAGTTTTTGGCACGGTAAAGGAGGACTATGCCAACAAAATTTGCTGATGACACACTGTGGAATGAATCATCATTATGGAGGAGGTTCTGAATATCATGCAAATAAAAAAGCAGTAGGATGACTTTGAGGGCCAAAGTGATTGTAGTCAGATGAAACTTGGCTGCACAAGTGCCAGGTCATGCACTCAAGCATAATAAAAAACAATCTCTGCTATAGACTGAAACCTTATCAGCTGGAAATAGATGAAGAGAGAGTCTGATGTGTTACTTCACTGAAGTGATTTTTGCTTTCTGGCAGAAGTTGAATCTAGTTATTGGCAAATTATACTTGCTATATTTCAAAAGTGAAGCATAAGTAGTTTAAATAATTTGCAGAAGGTTTTGTAAATGGTCAACCCCCCCAAAACAAACCTATAAACAAAACAAATTCAAGTAGAGTTTGAGTTTGAATAATGCTATTTTGTGGGGTTAGGGCTTTGGGGCTTTTGATTTTGTTTCATGGTTGGTTTGTTGCTCTTTTTTTTTATTTTTGTGTGTGTGTGTGTGTATTTTGTTTGTTTAATAGAAGAGGTTCAGTTTCAACTGTGCAAAGTTACTTGAAATGGCAATGGTATTAATAAAATCTCCTGTTCATTTCTTTGCCAGGCACTGCTGCACTTCCAGGAATAAAAAGCTGAACCTCCACTTAGGTGCACAAATGTAGATCTTGGAGCTTAACATTGTCCTCATTTTGAAAATGATCTGATGGAACAGACCAACTTGAAGTCTTGAGTAAAAAGTATAATCTCTCATTTGACTCAAGAAGGTTAGGGTGGAGAGAACATGACATATATACACACATGCTTTGAAATAGCATCCTGGGCTTGGCTCTAGATCAAATGTTGCAAGCCAGAATGTGATTTGGTATTTTAGACAAGAAGAAGAAAATTACAGGTTAAAGAGAATTTAAGTATTGACAAGAAAGGGCAGCATGTACTTGCTTGAGTCCAACCTTCTACTCACCGTTTCAGGTCAAGATAAATGGAGTGGAGAAATAAACAGGCAAAACTTTGACTCCTCACCACACTTCTTGGGGTTTTGCATGCACATTTATTTAATCAAACTCTAATCTGGAGAAAAGGTGTGGGAGGTGGCAAGAGAGGGGCAAGAACACAGGTAAAGAAGTCTACAAGTGAGTCTCTTGCTTTTCTGAGAGAATCTATTTTCTCTAAACCCCTTGCAAAGCTGAAGTCATCATTAAGCAAATGCACTGAGAAGGCACAGCAGGAAAACAGCTAAACAAATATTTATTTCTCCAAGGCTGAAACGCATGGGAGTGTCAACAACAGCAGCAGCAAGAAGTACGGTCTGGAGGGTGGGGGGAACACCAAAGACTTTGAAGTTCTTAAATAGTGATATTTGCATAAAATCAACAGTAATGCATTATTAAAACACACAGATACATTAAAGCTCACAGAAGGACTTTGCTTCCCAGCTGATGTGAGAGAATTCAGTGAACAAATAGCTATCTACAGGATCAGGAGCTGCCAAGCAATCCAGTGTTAAAAGAGCAGAGAAGTAAAGGTGAGGGATTCCATTACTTTCTGATGGGAAGAAACCCACCAGAAAAGCACACTTGAATTTCAAGCACACTTGGGAACCTCAAGGTGTGCCGACTGTCTGCCTACACCTCAGGCATTAGTGGCAGTTTCCCCAGGTCTTCCTACCAGATTTCATTCTTCCTCCTCATGCTGTGCTGAATACCTTCTGTATGACCAGTTTCCCCACTGGGAATGACAGTGAACAGCCAGGCAGTGCAAAGACATTTTTGAACCAATTGGACCTTATTCAGACATTGCAGCAGCTAAAGATGCATGGAGGGCAATAAGAAGAAAATATTTGCATGTAAATTCTTTCTGGAGTGGTTTCAAAGCAGAAAAAAACCTTGGCCCTTGATCAGATCTCATAGTGTGCCAGAAACCCTGTCTCCAGGGCAGTCTTGTCTCTTGGTAAGGACTCTCTACCACACAGTGGCTCTCCTCAGTGAATTCAGCCCCTTGGTAGCTAGTTTACAAGCTCAACAGCTTAGGCAGCTCCCATATAGCTGAGAGATTCTCTTGCTTTCTCAGCACTGCTTCATCTTTCTGCTAACAACTACTGAAATGAATGCCCTGAGCAGTCCATGTTCACAGACTAAGGGCAGGCAGGTTGCTGATTGCCTCTGCATGCCTGTATTAATCTGTCACAAGAGTGGCTCCAAAAGGCAAAGAGGGACAGCAGCAAATTTCTCAAACATCTGAGACTGAATTTGCCCAAGTCTACCCTTTGTAGTCCTGACAGACTTGGAATCTGAGTGGTTCTGCATGGCGGGAGCTTCAGCTGGTGAGACTTCCTCTTCAGTGTGACTTCAGAAGGGTCTTGTCTTGCTTCAGCATCAGAAAACCTCAGGTTGCACAAAAGGGAAAATAGGAGGCAAATCCCAGTAAATCTGGATTCACTTTTCAGCAGAAGAAAAGATGCCAAAAAGGTTTGAAATGCCAAGCAGGCTGTGTCCAGCTGAAATGTCCTATCCAATGGGTAGGAGCTTCTGTTCTACCTTTCAGTGATGGCAGGACAAAGGAACTTTCTCCTACAGAATTTGTTGGGGAATGAATCTTTGTCATCTTCTGAAATTGCTCAACACATTAAGAAAAAAGAAGCAAGGTATGATCAC